CCCCCCCCCCCACTCTGGGATGTCCCAGAGCAGGGGATGGGCTCTGGTCACATCAGGAGGTGACCCATGGAGTGGAGCCCACGTAGAGCCCTCAGGGTCCCCACAGGTGCCAGGCTGGGGACACACAAAACTCCAGCACCATTTAAGATGATCACGGGGGAGCTGAGCCCAGTGCCGGGTCTGTCACACTCGCAGGTGCCACTCCCGGTGACAGTGAAGTGGTTGTGTCCCTGCTGCCACCAGTGCTGCCTTCCCTGTACCAGGTGGTGGCACCGGTTGTCCCTGAGCCCTGGCAGGTCAGTGTCACCCGCTGGCCTCCAGGGGGGCTCCATGAGGAGCTGGGTGGTCTGGATGCCTGCAGGTGACAGGGGACACAACCCTGCCAATGTCATCGGGTGGCAGGGGACAGCAGGGTAGGGACATGGCATCCCCCAAGGACTCACCAGCAAGGCCAAATATCTGGACTGGAAGGGAGAAAGGACAGAGTTGGGTGGGCATGGCCCTGCAGGGATGAGGTGTGGGGGCTGTCCCCAAACTGTCCCCATGGGAACACTGGTGGAGCATGGAGGTCTTGACACTTTGGTCACACTGGGCTGAGGCAGGACATGGGGAAACTGTGGGCACCCCATGTTTTCACAGCTCACCTCCACCAGCCCTACAGCACCCGTCCCCACAGCCACATCCCCATGGCCTGGTGCCAATGATCCCATTCCAATGGTACCTGTCCGTCACACCCTGGACTGGTTTGCCCCAGGTGAACTCCAGAACAGGGATCTCAGAGTGCAGAACCCCCATGGATGTGCCGCACCCCACCCCCCCCCCACCCCTGAGCAAACCACAGGCAGGCCTTTTTCCCCCACAGAATTCTCACCTCGGCAGCAGCTCAGAAGCTGCCAGAATCAAGGAGGCAGGGGGGACCCTCCGGTCCTGGCTGCCACCTGGGTCTGGCCAGAGCAGAGCTAGGCAATGGCCATCCCTGTGCAGTGGGGCTGGGCCATGGCTGGGCCCACCTTGGATTGACAGGGGTCCCCAGGATGTGCCACCCCTGGGAGAGGAACCCAGCCTGGAATGTACAAGGACATTTCTGGAACTGCCACCCCCTGGGATAGGATCCCCCATGCCAGGATGTGTCACACCCTGGACTGGTTTGCCCCAGGTGAACTCCAGAACAGGGATCTCAGAGTGCAGACCCCCCATGGATGTGCCGCGCCCCCCCCCCCCCCCACCCCCGCCCCCCGGACAGAGACTGTCCCCCTTTCCCATCTGACTGTCACCACAAACAGCCTCTTCCTTCTTGTCCAGGAAAAGGAAAGTGAAAGTGTTCAGGGTGCACAGCCCAACACCCCCATCCCCCTAAGCCTCCCCACACTTCCCTGCACCCCTCTCTCGCACTGTTTTCTTCTTCCCTAGGGTCCCCCAGTCTGTTCCCTGCTCAGGTGCACCCCAGAATTGCTGAGCCGGGAAACAGAGGTGAAGGTCACCCCAAAACTGAGGCAACCAGGGAAGGAACTGTGACCCATGGGCCCACCCAGCCACTGCCCATGCCTGGCACCACCATTCCCCTGGGACTCCAACCATGGGAGCCCATTTCCTTCTGTCTCTCCTTCCCTGGGATCCCTATCCCTGGATGGCAATTCCCCAGGAACCCCATTCCCAAGGAACCCCATCCTGGTAATTCCAGTCCCTGGGATCCCCCTTCCCTTGGGGACCTTGATTCCCCCAGGACCCCCATTCTCACAGGGCCCCCCTTTCCCCTGGCACCCCTATGCCTTGGCCCCCATCCCATGAGCACAAATTCCTGGAGACCACATTGTTCTGGGACCCTAATCCTTGATTCTGAGTTCACCCAATTCTTGGGACCCCCACTCCCATGGGACCCCATCCCTGGGCACCCCATTCCCTTGGACATCCATCCTTAGCTCCCTACACCGCCTTAGCCTTAAAATTCTGGTAACACCATGTCCCCACCATGTCCCACCATCACCCCGACCATGTCCCACCATCAACCCCATGTCCCACAAGGTCCCCACCCTGCCCCCATCCTGTCCCCACCCTCCCCTCACCAAGGGCCACCTACACGTGGGGACGAGATGTGACCTCGCTTCCTTCCCCTTCATCCGAAGAGCTGCCAGCCAGGGGAGCGGTGGACACGGCAGCGAGTGACAGCCAGTCCACATGGCTGGGGACACCAGGATGGCCGGGAAGGTGGCGCTGCTCCTGTGGGGTGAGTGCCCCGGGCATGGGCCTGACACCCCGGGAATGGGCCCTGGTGAGGCAGAGACTTGTGGGGAGGGGGCACAGGGGGACTGTGGGGTTCACTAAGGTCTCCAATGGCTGCAGAGCCATTGCATGAGCATGGAGCCCAGTGTGACCAGAGTTGTGGGGTGGCTTTGGGGGCAGGAAGAGGGAGACAAGGACAGGGGAACTGGGATGTGGGGACAGGAACAGGGTGATAGAAATGTGGGGACAAGGATGTGGCAGAAGGAACCTTGGGGCTGGGGTAGCTGTGGGGACAGGGACAGGAGATCAGAGATGCAGGGACAGAGACAAGGGCCATGTACCATGTGGATGGGCCATGGGGACAGGTACTGTTGGAATGGGATCATTGTTACCGGGCCATGGGGACTTGGCCATAGGGACAGGTGCTGTAGGGCTGGTGGAGGTGGCCAGTGCAAACATGGGGTGTCCACAGTGTCCCCATGACCCTCAGCCAGCCCTGTCTCTTCTCTCTTCCAGCCCAGACCCTCAGCCTCGCTGGTGAGTCCTCAGGGGATGCCATGTCCCCATCCCGCTGTCTCCAGACCTGTGGTGGCCCTGGCAGGCTGGTGTCCCCTGTCACCCGTAGGTGCCCAGACCACCCAGCTCCTGGTGGATCCTCCTTGGACGCCAGCGGTGCTGTGGGACCAGGTGACACTGACCTGCCAGGGCTCGGGGACCACCGGTGCCACCACCTGGTACAAGGATGGGCAGTACTGGGGGCAGGAGGGACGCGACCACTTCACTGTCATGGAGAGTGGCACCTACATGTGTGACAGACCTGGCAGTGGGTGTAGCCCCCCCGTGAACGTTTCAGAAGGTGAGGGCATTTTGTCTCCCCAGCCTGGCACCCACAGGGACCCTGAGGACTCTGAGTGGGCTCCACTCCATAGGTTACCTCCTGGTGTGTCCAGAGCCTGTCCCCAACACACAGGGACATACCAAAGCATCCCAGTGTGGGGACACCCCCGTGTTGAAATTGGGGAAGCCTGGTGCACTGGCTGTGACCCAATATGGGGGTCCCGGTGACATCAGGACCCTCCAGACCCC